TTTGATCTTATTATTAATTTCATTCATAGCCCAAGATTTAGATCTATTTAAGTTTTTATCATTCTCTTTCCAATTTCACACTTTCATTCGATAACCACTGAGTCAATAACCTCAAATCATTTCATAAATTGAAAACCTACATCTACATGCTCAAATTGAAATCGTCGACTGTCGAGTTCGACTTCCCTTCTCCAATGCACCTCTAACCACGACCTCTAACCACGACCACCGATAGTTGACCATTAAAAATCTGTTAACAAATTTAATTATGGTGCGGAACCAAACCCAAATGGTTCCAAAATTATATTCAGATCTGACGGTTCCATTTATTAAATACCTGAAAATTTTGGTTCGGTTCGATTCTGAAGAAAACCGAACCAGACCATGTCCAGCCCTACTTATAGCTGCAGAGGAGAACAAATAATTTTGAACCCCTCTATATTGTTATGGTGACAAGTCTTTGTATCATGGACTGCAGTTCATTTAGATCAGAACTGAACCAGACCATGTCCAGCCCTACTTGTAGCTGCAGAGGAGAACAAATAATTTTGAACCCCTCTATATTGTTATGGTGACAAGTCTTTGTATCATGGACTGTAGTTCATTCAGGTAGCTGATACTTTATAATATGTGCATTCTTACTCTCATTTTTGCCGTTCAGTGATTCTAATATGACATGATGAATTTTCTTGGTAAAGGGATCATTATTTCATAATGAATTTCTAGTTCTACATAAACATCCAACTCTCTGTGTTGACGTAGTTATTACATTTTTTTTAGCTAGATTTATGATAAGACGTTCGTTATTTGCATGAACATCCAACTCTCTGTGTTTTCATTATTTGCATGATATTAAGTGATAAATTCACTTAAATGTAATGTCACATGATTCTTATCAATTGTGGTAATTTAGATTGGTGTTCTAACACCACTGATGATAGATCACACAAGCACTTGTGCAAATGTTGCTGTGTGTGAAAGATGAGTTTATTAAGATTTGACGTTCTATCTTAAAATATCAATTTTGTTAAAAGCATCCCGTGTTCGACTACGTTAAAGTAAATTTATTACACCTTGATTTTATTCAAAACGAGTTAGTAAAACTCGGGTAACACTAACATCCAGTCACAACGCGCACGCACACACACCAAGCGTGCATGATGTACTAATATTACAGTTCTGAATTTCTGAATTGGCTCGACAGCTTGCATCCCTTAATGAATACTCATTTTACGGGTCATCATGGTCATGAACTCATCCGAATCAATGACACCATCTCCATTAGTGTCCACAGCTCTCACCATCCTCCAGCAATCTTTTAAGCTACACGTTTCCCCGAGCTTACGCAATAACTCGTAAAGTTCCTCGACCGTTATTTTCCCATCCCCGTCCTTGTCAAATGCACGAAATGCGTTCTGCAAATCCATCTTCTTCACTCCGCCTCCCTTCTTCTGCGCTTCCTCGAACTCTTTAAAATCTATGAATCCATCGCCATCCAAATCTACGACCTCGAATATCTTCTGCACTTCTTTCATAACGAATTTTCCGTTACCAATGGCTTTTAATATTGCCTTGTATTCCTCCGGTGAAATCTTGCCATCTTTGTTGGCATCAAATATGTCGAATACTTGCCTCAGCTCTTCTGATGTTGGCAATAAACCGGAGTTTTGTCTCTCTATTGAAAACGTTCTCGAGGGTTTCTGCAAGAATTTCGTCTTTGAGAGGAAGTATTGCACATCAAGAAAACTCACATTTGGCATCTTTCTTTGGCTATCTCTAGTG